ATAGTGAACACTCGTCGCCACACAGGGTTCCAAAAAAATTGTGTTCTGCGCCACGAGGGCTTTTAAGATTTACTCCGTTGGCAACTTGCAAACAGGCAGGACAGTCTTATTAACAGCCTCTCGCTGCGCAGACACGGCATTTTCTTTAGTTTGTGTCCGTTGCTTGAACCACAGAGAACTGAGGGTTTTTTGTAAAGCTTGTGGAGGAGTTGTGTGAACCTGGGGAACAGACTCATGCTGAGTGACCACTGGGGTTCATCACAGCCAGTTGCGCATGCTGTGCACTTAGCTGTGCTGGAACAGCCATGACTTCGGGCTGCTCGAAAAGGAATCAAGTTGTGGTTCTGGACGGGCAGCTGGCTTTTCATTTTGACTTCATTATGGGCGAGCACGGCGATTTCAGAGCAAATGATGTGAAGGGAGGGGTTCATCTTCAGGAAAGGAAGGGGCACTTCAGGAGGCTGAGGACGGGGCTGGGGACCGCAGCCAGCCCTGCACACGTGACAGTGGCCCTTGAGGCTCCTTGTGGCTCTCGGGGCTGTTCTTGGGGCCACCTGCTCGCTCACAGGTGGAAATGAGGACAGTACTGGAGACTTGCCCAGCTCCTGGCCCAGGAGCCACGACCGCCCAGGGCGGTTGGATGCATCTTCCCAGGGGACAGCCAGGTCCCCAGTCCATCGTGGGTGTGGAGGAAGGAAAGAAGGACAAGGGACAAGGTGGGGGGGGTGGTGTTTCCAAAGCTCCCCGTCCCCAGGGCTCCTTCACAGGGTGGCCCCAGCTGTAAGGCCATGTCTCCCCTGGCCTGGTTGCAGGAGCAGAAATGTGCTGGGCCACCTTTGCTCCGTCTCTCAGCCCTTGTGTTTGCCCCTCTGCACCCCCTGCTTTCTAGAGTCGCTGATAGGCCAACTCCATGAAACCGAAACCAGGCAAGTCCTGTTGGAGCAGAGGGACCTGGGAGAGACAGAGACACAGACACAGAGAGGGAAGGGGAGGGAGGGAGAGACAGCAAGCGGTGTTAGGCTCAGTGACCGCTCCAGAGAGGGAGATGGCCGTGGGCAGTGGCTTCTGACAGCAGGCTCTGCCCCCCATACCCGGAGGGACAGCCCCCGACGTCGCTGTCACACTGGCCTCCACTTATCTCCGCATCTGTTTCCCCTTGTGCAAGATTCAGAGCCACTGGCTCCAAAGACACAGTAAGAGCATTCAGGGCCCTATGAACTGCCCAGGCGACGCGTGTTTGCCGCCGTGGTGTTTTCTGCCGTCGATCGGTTCAGGCGTTCAGGTGTCTGGGTATCCCCGGGGCGGAGTAGAAAATCACAGTTGACTTCTGTGAAATAATCGTTCCCTCTGGCTTCTCCCTCCGCAGACCTACGATCCTGGTTTTTGTGTAGGTGCCGGTTCCCGAAAACAAGTTGTTGATCCGCTTGTGTGATGAACCCCTCTTTCTGATTGTGAGCTCCTTCGTGGCGGAGACCCTGTCCGGCCCAAGCTCTCCGCTTTGCACTTGACGCTGGACACAGACAGCGTCCATGTGGGAGTAGAGGGCCAGGAAGCTGTCTGAAAATGAGCGCAGAGCCCCG